AAATAAGAATGGCAAAAATTTTCCGTATTTTTTTCCTGAAAGCTAATGAAATTATTAAAAGACTGACACCTGATCGAAGAATTTTCGTTGACTATTCTGTCAGATACAGAAAAATACTGGATTTTGCATGCTTTTCGTAATTTTTTAATTTCTCGAAAACTAATTAACTTTTATTAGCGCTCTTGGTCTTGTTTTAATTTCTATTTAATGTAGAATCTAAATTATTAATTGGTATTGTGAAATAAATTTTTCCAAAAAAATTTGAAACCGTAAAAGTAGGATTAAAAAAATTCAAAAAATTATTATGAATATTAAAGTGTCAAAAAGGTCAATGTAAAATATGTTCATTTAATAGATATACTAAAATTCAAAAAAGCTTTTTAATTAGTTAATTATTTAATTTAAAAAAAAAATTTTTGTTGAAAAATTTTTTTATCCGACTTTCACAGTTTCAAATTTTTTTGGAAAAATTTTTTTCACAATACCAGTTAATAATTTATATTCTACATTAAATAGAGATTGAAACAAGACCAAGAACGCTAAAAAAAGTTCAAAAATTACGAAGAGCATGCAAAATCCAGTATTTTTTCTGTATCTGACAGAATAGTCAACGAAAATTCTTCGATCAGGTGTCAGTCTTTTTATGATTTCATTAGCTTTCAGGAAAGAAATACGAAAAATTTTTGTCATTCTTATTTTTTACGTTTTACGCATTTTTTCACTCATGCAAAAAGGGGCGTCCTGATACTCACGAATGGTAGTGTAATTAAAAAATTACACAATTTTTTAATGATTTTTTTTTAATCTTAAATTTAAATGTCAAAAATTTTTTTTAAATGTTTACATTTCCATAAATCGTGCACTCGATTGTTACACTTTCCAAATATACATCGCCCTTTTGTAAATAAACTTTTGATTTTTCAAAATGGCGCCTAAAAATTCAAAAATTTATAAAAATTTATTGTTCGATGTAAATTTTTTTTTACAATTTGGCTTGAAAATGCTTACTCGCGGGTTTTTGGGGTCGCTGATTACGAATCAGAAATTACTTTTTAAAAATTCAAAATGGCGGATCCAATATGGCGGACCAAATTTTCAAAAATCAGTCGGGTTCTCTGGAAAATCCTTACTCAGGGGTTTTCGGGGTCGCTGATTACGAATCTGATATTACTTTTTCAAAATTCAAAATAGCAGATCCCATATGGGGCTGTTCATAAACTACGTCACGTCTTAAGGGGGGGGTGGACTTCATTTTTTGTGACGTTTTTTAGAAAAAATGGCGCTAAAGCATGTAAAATTTGTGACATGGGTAGGGGGGGGGTAGAAAACTTATGTTAGTTTATGAACGGCCCGTATACCGGGTAAAGAAGGTTAAATTTTATTTAATTTAAATGCTTACTCAAGGGCACAGGGGTGACACTGCTGCAGTTTCCATGAGAATAAACTAACCTGAGAGTTGACCGTCGCCACTGGTGGCGCTGGCTGGACATTGGATAACTTTTTAGCATATTTTATAATATCAAAAACTTAGATAAAGTGTTCAATATAATTGAAATAATGGCGCGAAATTCAAATTAATAATATTATAATTATTTTCGGTTATTTCAATTATTGCTATTAGCTATTATTCAATAAGATTTTACCAGTAGGTATAAATAGAAATATTTTAGATAATTTAATTATTATAATATTATTTAGTATTTAATTTGAATTTCGCGCCATCAATTGTTGCACAATTTTCATTATAAATAAAATATTGAACACTTTATCTAAGTTTTTGATATTACAAAATATGCTAAAAAGTTACTGAATCAATAGTATGTACAAATAAATACCATTAAATTAATATTAATGATTGTAAATTAAATTTTTCTTTGCAATCCCTTGCATTTCACTCAATCTCGGTCCAATGTCCAGCCAGCGCCACCGGTGGCGACGGTCAAGTCTTAGGTTATTTCCAACTCAAGAGTGTCACCCCCGTGCTCAAGGGTTTTTAAGGACGCTTAATTTGAATTTCTTTAATTATTTTGAACATCTTTAGATACCAGTTGGGTCAAATCATACCTAACAAATCAAAGTTGTCCCTCAGTTCTCCGATTTTTGTGAAACTTTGAGAAATTGTAAAGGAATACATGCGAATAAAAATTCCAAGAAAGATTTTCGAAAATTTTGAAAATTTGTGGTTGTTCAGGGTTTTCAAATTTTGAAAACGCAATATCTCAGAGACATATGGATAGATTTTAATGATTTTTTCAGGGATAACTTAATATTTACAAACAATTAAAATGAAACAAATTGCAAAAAAAAATTTTTTGTTTTAAATAAAAAATTTAAAAAATATTGTTTAAACAAATTTTTTGTTTATAAGCGTGTTACAAACCGAAAATTAGTACTTTGATAAAATTTAATTGTTATTGATTAAATTTATTATCCCGACCGTTGAGATGATCTTAATTTCCTGAATGGGGAGGCACCAAGCTGCCAGGGTAATTATTACCCTGTTTAAATTTTGTGGGATCGTTTTTCCTCAATTTTAAAAGTTACCTTCACGTTTCCTGTAGTGTAATTAATTGTTTCAAGAATAATATGTTTTGGAGGTAAGTATGTAAAGAAAGTATAGGTTGAATTCTACTTCTAGTTTATTTAAAGATAAAGAAAAATACAGATAGTTGTTGTACAAAGTACAGAGAATAGTTGTTAGTATATCGGAACGATACAATGTTACTTACGGCTACCGGCGTCAATTTCGAATTCACTCTATTGACATCGGGCAAAACAAATTTTGATGTTACAACTTAAGATTTTATTATTTCCAATTTGAAAATAATAATTGTGTGGGGCCACTATCCTGGGACGGCGCAGGCGCTACACGCGCGGGCTGGCCGGTCTCGAACAAAATTTGAGAACGATAAAATTTATTTATCGCACCCAATTTTCACCCAATGACAGCTCTCACCGGACTTCGTCGGTTCGAAGATTTGATTTTATTTTGACGTCCGCTTCTCGTGGTACCAACACTTTGCGTGTCTATCACTAGGGTTCGACGCGCAGACGGGCAAGTACCAATTAATTACCGCCAGGTAAATACAAGAAGATGTTACCTGTACCGGTCACGAAATCATACTGCGATAATCAGACAGTCTCAGCCAAGCTCTAGCCCTGTCTCGCTGTAAAGGTGGGATTGTTTTGCTGATTATGAATTTTCTTATTCTAGGAGTAGGGACATCTCTCGGGCCCAGTGGCTTTTGCATTTTGCTGACGTTTTTGATTCTCACGACATTGTCGTGAGAACGGAAATGGTCTGTAACTTGAGGTTTTATTGAAATTATTTTCATAATTAATTTGTAATTATCGTTATTTTAATTATTTAATATAACAGTAATTCCTTAATTATGAATATTAATATAATCTTAATTCTGTGATTATTTAGTCCTACATGTATAAGTTATAAACAACATTTAATTATATTGTTGTTTATACCTTATAGTCCTCCGTCAATTTTATTGTAAATAATCACAATAAAATTGTTTAACTAAAAGACCAATATTCTATTAAATTGGGAATTATGCAGAGTTAAAACAATTAGATTTCGTCTTATGCGAAACAGAGTCAGCTGTTAAGGCACGTGCATTTGTTGTGATGTTTATTCACAGCACGTGGGCTCCGAGGGAAAGGGGAGAGATCTCATAAGGAAACGAAACAGCGGGTAGAACCGAGTATGGCCTGTCCGTGTTAGTGCCCGTAGCGCGCGACTCCATGAGTGTCAATACATTCAGTCGACAGACCCGCGAGTGTGTTGGTGTTTTATACGGAACGCCCGCGCGCATGCCGCCGTAGCCGCCCAGATACAGGTACATTTCCAAACATGAGTCCCTTTCTACATATAAAAGATTTATAGGAAACAGACTAACTTATAATAATGATATTGCCCTGTTTACCCTTTATTGTAACAACGTTAGTTCTCGCTGGTTTAGGCTTCGTAACGTTATTACAATTTGATTACTATTTCGAGACAGCAATTATTGCGCCCATTGTGGAATCTTGTGATTAGGTTTATAGAGTATTTTTCACTCTTCAAGTTGATTTAGATTAAAGTAATACACTTAATTTACCAACTTTAATATAATTGAATTTATTTTATTTTGTACAAACTTTCGCGCGTGTGAATCTGTCGGTTGTCGTTTTACATCTGATTTTCCTTCGCGCGTTTCCTTTCGATCCCCACTTAAGGGATATAAATTTGGGGGAATTAAAGGCGAATTCGCCATCGTCGTCGCGTAGGCATTTCATAGAAATATGAATTTTTGTACAAGTCTTAAGGCGCTTAATTTAATTTGAATCAAATCCAACATACCGGCGGCCTTGATGCATCGTGCTATCAAAATTTAAACAATGCAACTGCCAACCCCAAAAAAAAAAAAAAAAACATTGCACATTATTTTACAATTCCAATTAAAGAAAATGCCATATTAATTGCGTATAAAAAAATAGCAAAATAATAGAACAAATATATTAAATTTCAAAATATTGTAAATAAAAAATTTTCCATCTAAAAAACGACTAGGTTAACAATTTTCCTCAAAGGGCAATAAACAGAGTTTAACTATTGCGCGTTTAAAAACGCCCACAGCTGTTCGAATAGTTGCAACCCTGGCAACGTTATCTGTTCCCTTATGCAGTTCCATGACTCGCCCCATTTTCCAATTAATTGGAGCCAAATTGTCCTCCTTAACAATTACAAGAGAACCAACTGTTATAGGTGAATTTTCGTTCGTTCTCCATTTGGTACGACCTTGAAGCTCCGCAATGTACTCGGTGGACCACCGTTTCCAAAAATGTTGGACCAGTTTCTGCATCCTCTGAAACCTTGATAATCGATTTTCTGCAAGATGAGATAAGTCTGGATCAGGCACAGATTGTAGGGTCTCACCCACCAGGAAGTGCGCAGGAGTCAAGGGAAGAAGGTCATTTGGGTCGTCTGATATAGGAGTCAAAGGACGTTAATTCACGCACGCTTCTATCTGAACCAGAATAGAATAAAAATCTTCATATACCAGACAAGCATTAGCGAGAACCTTTTTCATATGATTTTTTACTGTTTTCACGCCCGCCTCCCACAAACCCCCAAAATGTGGAGACCGAGGAGGGATAAAATGCCATTGAATACTTAACTCGACTACTGATGAAATTATGGTAGATTTTTCATTTACTAAAAATTCTGCCATTTCCGCGAGCTCCTTCTTAGCGCCAACAAAATTGGTACCATTATCCGAATAAATATCGGATGGTTTCCCTCTGCGTGCAACAAAGCGTCGCAATGCAGCTATAAAATTTTCGCTCGTCAAACTACCTACCAATTCTAAATGAATTGCTTTAGTAGAAAAGCACACGAATAAGCAAACATAAGCTTTTGTTGTTTTTGCACCACGAGTTTTCCGATCCTTTACGGCGAACGGACCCGCGTAATCAACTCCGGTCCGCAAAAACGGTCGAGTTGGAAGCACGCGCGATGATGGAAGATCACCCATATAAGAAACAGCTGTTCTCGGATTTGCGCGATAGCATTTTATACATTTACGTATTACTTGACGCACTTGACTGCGCCCTGAAATCGGCCAAAACAACTCTCTGAGCGATGCAAGAACGGCCTGCGTGCCAGCGTGACACAATCGTTCATGTTCGTTCAAAATTATCATTTTCGTTATGCGACCTTTGGGTAATAAAATAGGGTGCTTTTTCGCGTAGTCAAAATCAGAATTTTTTATTCTGCCTCCCACTCTTATTACACCATTTTCCAAAAAAGGACTGAGAGGTAACAATTTACTTTTAATTGGTATATTTTGATTTTTGTTTAAAGCAGCGAGTTCTACTGAAAATTTTTCTTTTTGCACGAATTTACAAATTGCAACAGTAGCGTTCCAAATTTCGAGTTTAGTCAAATTTCCCAGATTCTTATTATTTTTATTTCTCAAATTATAACAAAATCTCAGACAATAAGCCACTATTCGGCGCAATTTCGAAAAACTCGAATACGCGGATAAAAAACCCGAATCTTTTTTATTGATCGCTATTAAACTTACTGTTTTTTCTTCCAAAATACAATTTTCGTTTACGACTTCATATTTATCATTTATAGGCCAATTGGAAATTGGAAGTTCCAACCAAGTGGGACCGCCCCACCACAACTGACTATCTCTCAATGACTTTGGATCTAAACCTCGCGACAATATGTCAGCTGGGTTCTCAGTGCCGGCGATATGGTACCAGTTACCCTTTCCAACGTTTTCGTGTATTTCGCTAACTCTATTCGCGACGAAAGTTTTCCATCTACTGGGGCAAGACTGTATCCAAGCTAATGCGACAGTACTGTCAGTCCAAAAATATAATTCATTGAAAGTCAACTGTAGGGAATCGATTACCTTTTTTACCAACTGACTAAGTACGAGGGAACCACAAAGTTCCAATCTTGGAATAGAAATCTTTTTCAAGGGAGCTACCCGTGCTTTAGAAGTCAAAAATCGAACTGTGCAATTATTAAATTTATCGCAGCTTCTAATATAGACACATGCACCATAAGCCATCTCTGATGCATCGGAAAATGCATGCAATTGAATATTTACAGGGTTTTGGCACAAAACGTGACGTGGTATTTGAATTTGATCCAAAGCAGGTTAACTTTTTCGTAATGTCAACCAACGAGTGCGCAAATCTAAGGGTATGGATTCATCCCAGGACAATTTAAGTTGCCACAATTTTTGAAGAATGACCTTGACTTCAGTTGCGAAAGGCGTGAGAAAACCTAAAGGGTCGAAAATCTGCGCAATGCAGGACAAAATTTGTCGTTTTGTGACAGTTAGACCTTTAATAGTCAAATTGACTGAAAAAAGTAAAATATCATTTCCCGGGTTCCATAAAAGTCCCAATGTTTTAAAATCCTCAGTCATACAGACCACGAAATTCACTTCCTGTTCATTGCTAGCTTGAATTTCTTTTAGAAATTCTTGATTATTCGAAGACCACTTCCTCAACTCAAACCCTCGCCCCTTTAAAATACGTGCAAGCTCTTGGTGAATGTATTTTAAATCGTTCAAAGAATTTCCCCCGGTCAAAACGTCGTCGACAAAAAAATCGTCTAATATTATTTTACTAATTGCCGGAAGAGAATCCTGAATTTCTAGCGCTATCTCGGTGAGACATCTAATAGCGAGATAAGCAGCTGGGCCCGTACCGTATGTCAGAGTGTTTAACTCATAAGTGTCAATCGGCAAATGGGGGGATGAAAACGCCAAATTATGCGTTGCAACTTTCTTTGAGAATCATTTACTAAAACTTGGCGGTACATCTTAGCGATGTCTGCCGTTACTACAAAGAGATATTTTCTAAATCGCAATAAAATTTCAAATAAATCATTTTGCATCGGGACGCCCGGATCTAAAATATCGTTCAACGATTTCCCATTTGTTGTTTTTGCCGAAGCGTCAAAAACAACACGGAGTTTTGTTGTATGCGATGATAATTTTATTACAGGGTGATGTGGTATGTAATAGCTAGGCTCTCGCGGGTCATCCTTATCAAGTTTGGTCATATGACCTAAATCAATATATTCTTGAATAAATTTATCATATTGAAATTTTAATTCTTTATTTTTTGCTAGTTTTTTCTCTAAAGAAAGAAATCGATTTGTAGCTATTTCTTTGGAATCTCCTAAATTAATTCCCCCCTCAGCCTTCATAGGTAAAGTGACCTTAAAACGACCTTCAGAAGTGACTTGTGTGTTTTTGTTAAAATGATTTTCGAGAGGACAATTTTTTAAAATGTCAATTTTCGAGGTAACATATTGATCCTCCAACTCCCAAAATCTGCACATCTGATCATTAAGATCAATTGTTTTTGTTAAGTAACAAAGAGAATTTTTTGGTTCTTGTATTAGCGATAATGAACCGGAGATAATCCAACCGAAATGCGTTTTTTGTAAAGTGGGTAAATTTGCCCCTAATTGAATTTGTCCCTGACACAAGAGATCCCAAAAAATGGACGCGCCCATCAAAATGTCAATGGGGTTTGACTCGAAAAATTCAGGATCTGCCATGCGCAAATCATCCGGGATATTCAAATTATCAATTTCGAAAGATGCACTTGGAATATTAGTTGTTATATTAGGTAACACTAAGCACGATAATTTAGCCTTAAAAGAGTTTAAACGTGAATTAATTACGAGATTAATATGCTTAGTTATTTGAGATTCTCCTTGCCCGATTCCCGAGATATTTATTTTTATTGGTTTAGTGCTTAATTTGAGCTTTTTACATAAATTCTCTGTTACGAAGTTGGACTGTGAAGCAGAATCTAGAAGCGCACGACACTCATGAGGCTTGCCATCTTTATCGTTTACTATTATGATTGCTGTTGCGAGCAATACTTGTTTTCTACTCGACATTGTGTTACACGCTGCTAACGAAGACACAGACACAGTCGACGCGGAATCACACGACTCTTTTCTTTCTATATTTTCCAGATGAAGTACGGTGTTATGACGTTTAGAACATTTTCCGCACGTAGACTGACTACGACATTCGCGCGTATTATGCCTTTTTTTTAGACAATTTAAGCAAAGATGCAATTTGCGCGCTTCGTCAATCCTCGATTTTACCGGAAGTTTTAAAAATGAGCTACATGCATTTATAAAATGAGAGCCTTTACAATGAAAACAATACTCGGAATCGACTGTCAACAAGGTTTTAGACGCATGGCGCGAACGTGACGCATTGTCATTCGATTTTGTATTGTTGGCCTTGGCCTTTTCTGTTTTTATGCCCTGAAGAATTTGGCAACGATCAGACAAAAATTTTAACATTTCCTTAATTGTAGGAATTTTACCACTAATTTTAAAACCTTTCCAGTCGCGCAACGTAATGGGGTCTAATTTAGACATAATTATATTAATTAAAATCATATCCCACCCATCTACCGGCACGCCGAGCACCCTCAGAGAGCGAATATTCTTTTCAATGCTTGAATGCACACGACGAATACCTTTATACGATTCTCGCGCCAAACTCGGAATTTCAAATATAGCGTCTATATGACTATTAATGATTAAATTATTGTTTTCATAACGCTCTTTGAGAATCGACCAAGCAACTTCATAGTTTGCTTCGGTCGTTTCCAAAGATTGAATTTGTTCCGCGGCTTCGTCCGCCAAAGAGGATCGGAGATAATAAAATTTCTGCACATTAGAGAGCGAATTATTTTCGTGAATCAAAGAACTATAAGTGTCGCGAAAATTCAACCAAGATTCAAAAGCTCCCGAAAAGGTAGGTATATTTATTGTAGGCAGTTTGACGTGGCTAGAAACTGAATTTACATCGGAAAGTGAATGATGAGTCAGAGGACTGTTTATTTGTGACTGAGACAAACTTTGTGTCAACCTCTCTGCTCTGTTTATCATCAAATTAGCAGAACCGATAACCGAAAAGAAAGAGCTCTCGAAATTTGTCAATTCATCTACTAATTTATCACTTTCACCTTCAATTTTAATAATTTTGTTTTGTATCTCCATAAATTCATCGAGAACGTTATTTATTTTAACCGTCCTAGCCTTCAAATTTTCAATGTTATCCCCACTTTTAAATTTACTTACAAAAGTTTCAAACCGCGTTAATGCTGACTTTGCATTTTTTCTTTTTTGTTTTAATGATTCTAAATTCCCGTTAACCGAACCACCCGAATCACTAGAGTCGCTATGCTCATCTGGCATTTTTCTCTTTTTTATTTTATTACGTAGAAAAATTGTACAAAGGGCAAAAATTCAAATAAAAACGTGTTTGAAAAAAAGTATAGAAATGATAATAAAAGGATAAAAATAAAAGAATAAAAGGAAGCGCTTTCACCTGGTGGATAAAAGATGCGATGATCTCCTCCCGGGCAGCTATCCTCGTCAATCAAAGTGAGATGCAAATGAAACTCAGGTCACTCGGTGCGAAATTCGGCGGCTGCTTGGCTTGAAAATTCGAACTGGACTCGAGGTTGACTCAGGTTCCTGGATATAATTCCCCACTGGAACATTGGCCTCGTTGCTCCAATAATTTTTCAGCTCCTGGTACGACGTTCCATCGACAAAACAGCGTGGCGTCTTCTATGGCAGCTTACGATCGAATCCAAGTATATAATCAGCATCGAAACTCGAATTTTGAGTATTTTTGAGTTTCTCGACGAACCGACAGAACGCGATTAATTTTGTAAGAGTAGTTTGTAGTACAAACGAGTTGATATAAACTTGTTATAATCCACGTTGATGCGATTGAGCGAATTTTCACAAATGGCGTCACCACGTGTATGATAATTTTCAATTTTCCGGACGAAAAGGCGATCCGGCTCGAAGGACCATGTGGAATCTTGTGATTAGGTTTATAGAGTATTTTTCACTCTTCAAGTTGATTTAGATTAAAGTAATACACTTAATTTACCAACTTTAATATAATTGAATTTATTTTATTTTGTACAAACTTTCGCGCGTGTGAATCTGTCGGTTGTCGTTTTACATCTGATTTTCCTTCGCGCGTTTCCTTTCGATCCCCACTAAAGGGATATAAATTTGGGGGAATTAAAGGCGAATTCGCCATCGTCGTCGCGTAGGCATTTCATAGAAATATGAATTTTTGTACAAGTCTTAAGGCGCTTAATTTAATTTGAATCAAATCCAACACCCATTATATTTTATAATTTATTATTATTGCCAGATAATTATTATTATAGTTCTTGAATTCTTTCAGGTGTCGAAGTGAAATTAAATGGAAGGCACTTATACCGAGAGAGTAATCTTATCGGAGTGTCGGATTTCGGGCATCATGATCTTGCCATGCTGCAAGAAGTCTTGATGCCAGAAATTAAAATTGTTTAAATATAATATAATAATGCATAAATTAAATTTAAATTATGTAGTGTAGATAGAATTTTTATAATTTGTTCCTTGTGTATCAAAGCGTATCTTTAATTTTTTTCTAATAGCGATATTTTGATTCCTTAGGATTTCACGAGTATTTTGACATAAAGAAATCGATAAAGACTCTTAAACTTTCGGAGATATTGTATTTTTTGTCTTTGCGCGCAGGGCCAAAAAGCGCACTGAAGCAAAGGCTCTGTGTACAAGGTAACGGTCAAAATTACCTAATACTCGCGTAAATTTTAAACAAATTGAATTCTTTGTTCTTTAAATCAATTAGTAACATTTCATTGTTACGTACAAGGTACTTAACAGGTACTATTTTATTATTATTTTTTTTCTTTTTAATAAAGCTACAAAAGATAGGACAGAATTTATAAAACATAAATTCCTATATATTTTATAATATTGTTTATAAATTATATGCATAAATTTATAAACATTATTAATACTTAAAATTTTATATAATAAAAGAAACCTCTATTTGAAAATAATTAAATGTAATGCATTTCACACATATGCATTCAGACGACCTAGGTGTATACGTGCACATCCACTGATTCCGCTGGCTACAAGATCTAACACGACCACACCCTTGAGTTCTTCGCGTTACGGGCACACACACACAATCATACTACACATGCCTCTGCTCATTGCCTTGTCTCTCCTATTGTCTTTTCTTGTCTCTCCTTCCTTTTTCCCCTTTGGGCCTACAAACTTAGGGACTAGAATGTCATAAAAAATGCACATGCATTTGGAGGCTGACTCAACGCTTTATGAAGCGTATATATTTTATTCGTTTTATGCACTATTCCAAATTTACAGAAAATAATTTGATAATAGCTAAACATTTTATAGTAACTTATTGTTAACAATAAAATGCCGGAGGACTGTAAGTTGCATGTATATGTGTATATGTATAATTATGAATGCAAAATACATATACTAGTAACTTATAAAATGTAGGACAAATATAACGTTATTTATACAACTTATATTAAACACTTATAACTATAAATAAATTATAATTATAAATAAAAAATTCTTTCTTTACAATATAATTATAATTTATATATTTAGTTATAAAAAATTGTTTCTAATAAGTATCAAATTAACAACGCCGTTTCCGTTCTCACGAAAACTGCATGCAATCAGAAACGTCAGCATAGTGCAAAGTCCAATGGGCCTGAAGGATTCCCCTACTTCTAATTCTAAAAATCCTTAGTTGACAAATTTACCCCACTTTGACAACAGGACAAGGAGTAGAGGCTTGTCGCGATATTTCTATCGCTGCTGTACAATTTTCCTTTTCAAGCGATCAACATCTGTCCCGGCTACGGCCTGGCAGATCTGTTGATCGCAAGAAAGTAGGAAATGCCGAGACTAAGCCCGTCTGCGCGTCGGACCCCCGTATAGAACTCAGCGAAAAAACTAATATAATACGAAAGGCGGACTAAAAAATAAAATAGAATCTTCTAACCGACGGAGTCCCGTGCGAGCTGTGTTGAGTGAGGTTTCAGTTAATTAAATATTAAACAATTTGAAAATCTTGTTTTTAACCGGCCAGTCCGTACGTGTAGTACCTGCGCCGTCTCAATTCAGTGGTCCCACAAAACTAAAGAAGACTCTCTTCTTTACAAAATTCGCGAGTTCGTGAAAAAGAAAATTAGTCGCATAGACGACTAAATTTTCAACTTTCTCAACTGTGTTTTGCCCGACGGAGGATCCCTGTTCCTCAACCGGCCAGTCCGCGCGCGTAGCGCCTGCGCCGCGGCTAAAAGGAATTATGCCATGTCGGTAGGATTAAGAAAATATACGTAAGTAATTCTGTATTGTTCCAAGGTCTAATCTTTATACAAATTTTATATCCTCCAACACAAACATTAGCAAGTTTTGTTAACTCCTTGCATTCTGTTCTGAAATAATGTTTAAATAAATGTTGCCATTTAAAATACTAAATCTGATTTACTTTCTTTAAAACTCCTGAACTAATTAAAGACAAAAGAATTAAATTTATAAATCAAACGAAGCATCGCAGGTTTCTTTTAAAAGTAGGATAACGTTCCCGCAAATTAAACAAGGTCCTTCAGACCTTGGCAGCTTGGTGCCTCCCCAAATTAGAATTTAGAGCCATCTCAAAAGCTCAATTTTTAAACAATAAATAAATTCTGGTTTGTAACAAGCTGATGGTGGCAGCGGTGGGATTTTCCTACGCGTTACCGCCCTGCTTCGTAACCTGGTAACATTTGTTACCAGTGGCACCATTTTGTATTTTTCAAAATTTAACATTTAGTTAATACAGTTTCTCTATTTTCTTTCTCTTCTTACCTTTAAATATTTCTTTTTACCATCTTATTTTCAAAATTTACTGATTGTAGTAATACAACTCAGTATTTTACTAAGCAATTTGACACAGGAAAATTTAATTAAAATACATAAGAACCTCTGTCTCACAGAAGCTAAGAATTTGGCTCTCCAACTTCGGTTGTTGATGACGACTTATTCTATGTTTCGATTTTGGCTCTCCGACTGAAAGGTTGTTGATGACGACTTAATCAATTAAGACACTGGTTTTTAGTATTTTAACTACTCGCTTATTCTTCTATCTCTCATCAGAAAATAAGAATTCTTTGTTTTAAATAAATTGTAAGTTTGGCTCTCCGACTCGTCGTTGATGATGACTTATTTCTAATTTATCTTGGCTTTCCGACCGAAAGGTTGTTGATGACGACTCGAATAATTGAAACATTGAATGCAGACAGCTGATGAGAAATAGAAACGAGCTTGATTGGAATAAAATATAAATTGCTTAGTGATTATGGAATTCCGCGCTGAATTTGTTAAACTTATCGCACTATTAAAAAAAATGTTTTTCTTCTATCATTCTAAATTTCAAATTCCAAAATGTCCGTTAAAATTGTGAACCATAACGTTTCAGACAAAAAGAAAATTCTGCTAAAATAAATTATACACTTTTCAAACTAAAGTAAAAAAAAAATGCTAAAATAAAATCAGAAAATTTAGTGTCATTTTAAAAATCAAAAAATTAGTCCATTTCACTTATTTACGTTATTTTATCTCGAATTAGTAAAATTTAAATTTTAGTTGACACAGGAAAAATAAATTAGTCTTTTTTCTTTACTTAAAATTGAATTTCTCGTATTTCTAGAAAAGAGGCACCAATTCTGTCTGTTATGAATTGTTACTAATTTATTTTCATAGAGTTTTAAACAAATAACTAATTTTAACAATGAAAGTATCGTTATTCTGACCTGATAAGTTTTCTTGCGATGTATCAATAACTTTTCTTCAAATAATAGTACTAAATTATAATAATAACTATAATATACTAATAATTATTATTATAAAGATGATAATTGTGTAATATAGTTATATAATAATAATAACATAAGTCTGCTATAACATTGAATTATATTGCTTAAGGTAGAAATAAAAAAATAAATATCTAGCTAAGCATGCTAGAAAAGGTTCTATAATTTTTCAAAACATTAATTAGTAGATTAATTAATTTTAATTATTTGCTTTATGTTAAATCGTTTTATATTTTTGTAAACTAAGTAGGCCTTTTATTTTTAAAAAATATTTAACTTTTCTTTAATCTAAAGTTGTTCTTTATGTTCCGTTATCACCTTGAAGTTTCAGGAGTTTTTAAATTTTATGTAACTTTTAAAATTAAGTAGAAATGAACTTTTGCATGCCTCCCTATTTTCCAAATTAAATAAAAATAATCAGAACAGTTCCTGGAATTTACATTAGTATCAATTCCAGGCTTTTCTATAATGCTTGTAATAAAT